GTGGGTGACAGATGTTTTTGTGCTGCTCAGCCTGCTGCTCCATCCCTGCTCAGGTGCTGGATGCTGCAGAGCACCGGGGCTTTCTTACTCACCTTGAGCTGCCTGAGCAGCTTCAAAATAATCAGGTTTGTCTCAAAAATCATTCCACAGTCATGCTGGGAAAGCTTGGTTTTTAACCTGGAAAGAGGCACTGAAAGGATCAGGTGCAAGCACAGACTTAGTCCTGCTTTGGTGGACTTTTATTTTTGCTCTCTTGCCATGAACAGAATCGGCCTTATATGAAGTGAAGGAAAAAAATGACTTTGCAGAGCCTGCAGAGGCTGCAGCACGAGGCATGAGAAATGCAGCTGGTGCCAGTCCAGAGGCGAGGGGGATGGAGCTCCAAGGCTGGACCAACTCTGACGTGTTTCACACTGGTGACCATCCAGCCTCAGGATCTGTGACCTGTAAGTGTACCAGAACATATCACAGAGGCCATGTTTTAAAAATATAAATGTCCTCTCTCTTTCCGTGTTTGTCTGACTTATCTTTATAGTGTTATCAATGTTTTTTGAGTCTACAGTCATTTTTCTTGCAACACAAAGAGGGGGAAGAATGAGGCGAATCATTTAAATTTTGATTGATAAGTGGAATGTAGAAAACAGTACTTAGTCCTTTCATATTGAGCTGGGAATTTTTTTTCACCTTTTATCAGCACTCACACATCTGCGACTTGTAAAAAAAAAAAAGCCCCACAACTTTTCCTTGAGTGTGGCTGTACCTAAACTTCCTTCAAACCCGTTATCTAAAAATCTGTGCCTTTCAAAATTATGTCTGCTGATAATTTGCCTTGGTTTAGCTATTTTTTCATGTGCTGCATTTGTTAGTGAGGCATGTGGATGGGCTCAGACACTCTGTCACTCTCTTGAGGGATGCTGGAGAGTGACAAGGCTCATCCCACTGATTTTTAAATATTCATTTCAGAAGAATATTTAAATTATTTTTAAAGCATTTTTATAACCATATGTTCCTCAAAAAAAAAAAAAAAGAAATCCAGAAATAATTATTCAAACTCATTGTATCAATTGCACCATCCTATTTAACTGACAGTTGGCAAAGAAAATAGTTTGGGAACTTAAAACATTTCCTTGGACCTCTGTGTTTAAAGAAATATATAGCCCTGTTATGCACCCATTTCATCCATCAATATGTTCACACTCAGAAATGTTCATTCTCTTGCTGTAATTTAATGTTTGATACAGTTTTATTTGATTCTTTGCCATGCCCTGGGCTCTGGTTGCGTGCTCTCCGCGGATCAGCGAGTAGGGAGGCACAAAGCAGAGAGCAGCAGTGGAAGGAGCCTGTCTCCAGCTGGCAGACATCCACACAGCCCAGGAGGGCTTTCCACAATTTCACCAGCTGAGGTGAGGCCCCATGGTTTTAAACATAACATGAAACTGCAAAGAATGAGTGTTCACACAGTGTGCTGCTTCCTGCCTATTTTTCATGCATAGAAGTAAAACGTTAATTTTGTTCAAGCCCCCTGAAGGATGAGGAATGTTTGGATGAATTGCTGTGGGCTCTTTCTTGCATTCCCTTTAAAGCTGGGCTGCAGCCCATGCCCCAGGGCCATTGCTGGGGATGGCCAGTCAGGGCCCCCTGACCAAGTGCTGGAGCAGATCCGTGGCACAGATGGTTCCACTTACACCAGTGAATGTGGGATCTGTGCCTATAAAGTGTCATTCTGAAGGAAAGAACATGCTTTCTGAGTGACAGTTCCCTAGCCCCTAGCCTCTCCCTGTGCTTTTCCAATTTATCCTCCTTTTCTCCATCTCCACTTGCTGTTTGTGCTTGGGGGTAAATCACGAAGATTTAGCTGAGAAAAAAAAAAAAAAAGCTGAAGAAAGTATCTGGGGTGGAAATTCAAATGATGCAGCACATTCAGATGGCAGAGGTTTGTTGACTGATAGGTTTATAATAGTCAGAGACAGTAAAACCACTTCATTGTTGGTGGTTAACTCGGGTGAACTCCCCATCACTTGCATCATTTGGGACTTTTATGTACATTCAGCACTCGTGTCCCTTTGGGAAAATGGTCATACTGAGCCTCTAATGGCAGACTTTGAAAAAACATAGGGCACTCAGGGCCTTGGGAGCAGCAGTGCTTCCAGTGCCTAAGAAGGAAGGCAAAGGAAGCAGCAGCCTGAACTCCCATTGCTCTCGGTGGCAGCATCCCAACGGTGTCAGCCGGGTGCTGAGCAGGCAGCGCAGGATTGGACGTCAGTGATGCAGATACCTTCTGTTGACATTTTATTTGGCAGTGATTTAACACGAGCTTTCTAATATTGCTGTTCTCCACAGGCTGCATTCCAAAGTAGGAAGGGAAGGAGTGCAAAATGATGCAAAATATGAGACAAGTAGGAGAAATATTTCTTTGCTTTAGGAGCGTTCGCAAACAGCCTCCACTGACAGCAGCAGGAAAGTGCAGAATAACACGTTTCAAGACCAGAAAAGGAGGCACACAAAGCCTCTGCAGAGATCAGTGCATTCAGTTCTCCTGAGATAAGAATGTTTTGTCAGATTGCAAATGGGGCAGTGCCCAAACCAGGGGAGGTAGGGGCCCTATGATCACGTATAATATAGCAGTTGTCAAGCATATATAACTTACTAAGTAAATACCTGGTTATTTTGGGTTGCTTTGCTGCTGCAATAGTTCAGAGAGGGTAGAATTCCTGCTGTCTACCTCAGTTTTACTGTAAAATGGTAAAATCCTGTAATTTGGCATCCTGTGCCTTTCTGTCAGCACCAGCTGTGCTTCACCCATGTCCAGATGCAAAGAATCAGCCAGTGGTCTCATTAAAGCTCAGCTCTGCAGAATAAATGAAATTGTTGCCCTTTCTTCTGATGTTAATAATGAAGATGTGTTCAGTGGTTATGATGCTAATAGTTCTTCAGCTATACAAGTTCTTTCCATCCAGTTCAGCCTCTCCCAGCCAAGTGTTGAAGCTATAGCACCATGATATATCCTGCCTCTCCCCCTCTCCTCCCTGCTGTTCCCACCAGGAAGAGCAGTGAATTTCCATTCTTAGCCTATTGCACCTCTCTCTTGTTGCTGCTTTATTTACAAGATCATTCTTAAAAACCAAACCCTCATTTATCCCATATCCCAGGGGCTCCTGGTTTTGTTCCCACACAGGAAAGCAAGCACCTTCACTTGTCTTTTCCAAACATTGTTCCTCATATGCCTTTTTGCTGGTTTGTTGGCTGATAAGGTGAGACCTAGGGCCATGTTTTTTTTGTGGATGGTTTGGATGTGGATGGTTTGGTGCTCTGCTTGCTTCTGTTCTGCATCATCCTGTGGTTTCACATGGAAAAAAAGCTTTGCATGGGGATGTGATCCCCTGATTTTTCCTGGGACAGAGTGATGCCTGCAGGTAATAGTGGCCCTCCTGGTTGCTTCCTCCCATATGGGATTTTTGCAGGGGGACATACCCTTGAAATGTTTATCTAACTTAACCCCCCCTTTACAGCAATTCCTCTGCTACATGTCACTGTCTGTGTGTAAACTTCTTGCCCCTGGTTCCCCCAAGTTGGGCAGAGCCTCAGCTCACCCTGTTCTGAGCTCAATGAAGCAAATCCCAGACCCAAAGGGCTCAGTTACAGATTTATGGATGATTGCAGACCTCGTGCTGGTCCAAAAGCCCTGAGTCCAAGGCTTTGGCCATTTATCCAGGGAAATTCTCCCTTGGTTACACACTGCTCCATGCAGAGCTTAGGAAAGTCACTCCTTTTGGGCTCTGATCAAGAGCATGAAAGGAAACTGTAACTCATGTACAGCCAGACCTGCCCAAATCCCCAAATTGTGTGTTACTTACCAAAAGGAAGGCGATGTAAGCATTGAAGGTTAATTATCCTTTTGTCAAGAACACTTTGTGATCTATAGACATATCTGTCAATCTTACAAAAGAGAACTGAGGCGAGTGAGCACTGGAGGCATGTCCCCATGATAAATTAATGAGACTTGGCAGCTCACTGTGAAGAGATGATCCCTGTGCTTCCAGTGAGACAATAACCTGGCTCCCCAGCCAGCCTGGCCACAGATTTTGTGCTGCAGTCACATCCGGGGTGGTGATCCCTCTGTAAACAAACCCTGCAATGCAGCTGTCCAGGGATCAAACCATCTTCCTTGAGCCTTCACTTTGCTGCTCCATGTGCAGCAAGTGCTCATCCCAAACACCCCAGATCACTTTTCCCAATCCATTTTTCCCAGATCACTTTTGCCTGCCAGTCATTTAAAATATCTGACTTCTGCCTCTCTCAGCAGTGACACTCCTTGGTGGGTCACAGAGCTGCCTGAAATCCGAGGGACACAGTCCCCCTGCTGTGTGCTATTCTGGTGATGGGAGTGCTGCTACATGGCTGGTAGCTTGAAAATGTGTTCAACTATTCCCCTGGTTTATATAACCTCAAAGCAATTTGCTTTCATAGCCGAACATGCTTATTCATTCTATTTTAACTGTGCATTGAGCTATAAATATTGTCTCATTGCAGATAAGAATCTATTGAATTTTATTATTTGTTTTTCTACCTTGGGAAGATGATTTTCTCCTGAAGGAGACTTTCCCAGCCCTAGCAGTGAAGTTGCCTGATTGACTCTGTCCTGCCAGGCAGCCATGAATGGTGTCAGTCTCAGGTCAGCTGCCACTTCCCTGCAGCCACCTCCTCATTGTTCCTGCTTGGGCTCTGGCAAAGATGAGATGAGTGCTCAGTGATGCAGAGCTGAGATCACTGAAGTGTTAGGGAAACTGATTAAACCAATGATTTCCTGTTCTTCTGATCAGCTGCAGGTTAATACCTCAGTGTTACCTCCAGCCCACCTTCCCTGCAGTACATCCACTTCAAAGAGCAATAACCTGGGTCAGTGTCCAGCCAAATTGTGTGGGTTGCTGCCTCCTTTTTCTGGTGCTCATTGTAGCATTGTCCTGCTTCCCCATGAGTTACTCCTGTCTTCTGCAGTGGAGCCCTGACCTGACATCCTCATCATCCAGAAACTTCTCAGAGCTGGAGCACAGCCCAAGCTGGGCAGGTGAGGGATGGGGATGTGTCCTCAGAGCTGCTGCTGCTGCTGCTGAGACCCTTCTCTTGTCCAGGCTGCAGCACAGCAGGGAGGTGGATGATATTTTGGCACCTGATTTTCCCTGGTGCAGATGACTTTTCTCAAGATTCAAACGCTCTTCTGGAGAAGGGTTGTGGTGGCAAAGTGCTGGGCTCCTGCAGAAGTGAGGAGACTTTGAAATCATTGAGAGCTATAATGTCTTGAAATGTGCATGGTTTAGTGTGTGGTTAATTTTAACAATGATTACAATCCACTCTTTCTGTTGTGCATGTTTCTGGTCACCCCCTGTATAAAACACTCTGGGAGCTCTTTGTAGAGCTGTGACTCTTTAGTAAAGGCTGGAGGAAAATTCTGAGAAGACTCTCCTGGGTCACAGAGAAATATTATGATTTTTTATTAATAACAGCTATTTATAGGAGAGAGGGTTATATAAGTACAACATAAATAAAATAATTCAAGTTGTAAGAGCTCTCCAGAGGTCTCTGGCTCAAACCCTGATCAAAGCAAGGCCAAAGTCAGAGGCAGGTCAGGGTGCCCAAGGCCTTTCTTTTTCAGTTGGGTTCTCAATAGCACTGAGGAAGGACATGCATGGCCTCTCTGCTTTCTGTGCTTGATCCTATTCATGACAAGGAATAATTCCTCACATTCATTCAGAATTTAATCCTTTTGCCATGCAGCTTAGAGAAGACTCTGGCTCTGCCTTATCTCTAACCCCATCAGGGAGCTGCAGACAGCAATGTGATCCCAGCAGCCATCTATTCTGCAGGATGAAGAAGCCCAGCTCCTTCAGCTTTCCTGGAATGCCCTGTGCCCCTGTCCCTGGGCAGCCTGCCTGCCTCTGCTGGACTCGTTCCCATGTGTCAACATCTGCCCTTGTAGTGGGGCCAGATTCATTCAATTCATTGCAAAAGTAATGTGAAACCATGTTAGCCTTCACCTGCAGGGTACAAAGTTCTGCCCATGGTCTTATTAGTTCAGGAAAACATCCACTGGCATTACCTGGATCAAGTTCTATTTAATAAGTTCATAAACACATGGATATGTTTTGATAGTGAGATGTTTTTAATCATATCAGTGACTTTGTTTGCTTTATTGCTCAGTTCAAATGAGGCCTTCAAGCACTGGGTAAGAGGAAGAGCTTCCATTTGTGCTGCATTGGTTTCTCCAGGCATGTGGCTCAGTGCAGTTATTTGCCACACTGTGGCCAAAGAAAGCCAGAGATGAAAACTGTAGCCTGAATTGTGTTTAGCAGGCATTTTTGAGTGATTTAGAGGCATTTTCATGAAAGAGCTGCAACCAATTGATATTTCCCACCTTTGCAGCAGTTATTTGTTAATTAAATAATGTGACAAACCCCAGGAGTGTTTTGAAAAGTGTATTAAATGATTTGCCATTAATTTATCAATGTGTTATTTATGCTGAGGAGTTGCATATCTGCTAAGGAAATTCTTCAACCTCAGTTTTGATTCTTTCAGAGAATAGGAAATTGATACTGAAAAAAACCCTGAAATGGGAAACGTAAAACAAGAAATTACATGAGTAAGTCAGAGAGGATGCTGTATAATGGCCAAATCCTGCCCTGGTGTCAGCACACAGGCCTCATGGTGCTCAGGACCATAACAGGCAGCACCCTCAGGTGTGGCACTGCCTTTGCTTACCTGCAGATTACAGAACCATAGAATTTTTGGGCTTGGAAGAGACCTTAAGGATAATTTTGATCCATCCCCTCTGCCATAGGCAGGGACATTTTCCACTGTCCCAGGCTGCTCCAGTCCCTGTCCAGCCTGGCCTTGGGCACTGCCAGGGATCCAGGGGCAGCCACAGCTGCTCTGGGCACCCTGTGCCAGGACTTCCCACTAAAGAATTTCTCCCTAATGCTTAATCTAAGCCTGCTCTCTTTCTGCTTAAAGCCTTTCCATTCCCCCTTGTCCTATCACTCCATGCTCTTGTCCAAAGTCCATCTCCAGCTCTCTTGTAGGATCTCTGCCCTCGTGCTGGCTGCTGCACACAGAGGATTTTCCTTTAGCCAAATGGTCATTAGCCATATGCTGCATCTGGCTTTGAGGATTAGAAGACCATAATGAAGTGGATTACAGCAGATCAGTGGCAGGATTGCAGACCAAATCCTTTTCTAACTGTTCTTCCAGGGGCAGCTAAGGCCTGAGCGAGCTGTCCTGCAGCATGAGCTCAGCCAGCCATGGGATTTTTCCATGCTGTTATCAGAGGTGGGATAATCTGGAGCTGTAACCCTGGGTGGGGAGGCTGTGGATGCTGAATGGCTGCAGGCTGTGCAAGTGCCTAAAAGCTGGGGATTTCTGGGTGTCACTTTTGTGGCTTGCCTAGGGGGTACCTGTGAGGCTCAGGTGTTCCCCAGTCACCGTTTAATTGTTGCAGCTTGAGTCTCCCTGAAGTGTCTGTAGGTGAGGGAGAGAAAGAAAGGATCTGCTGGACATCCAACAGGCATTGTGGTGGTCAGAGAAAATCTGAGTTGCCTGGGGCCAGTGCCAGACCTAGAGCTGAACCCAGGAGTTGAAGTGGAAAATTTTTCTGTGGTGTAACAAGTGCCAGACTTTGGCAGGAAAATGCTCTCCACTCATCAGGAGAGGCTGGGCTTGCCCAAAGGACAGCACTGTCCAGGGCTGGGGCTGTGGAGGCTGGTGAGGGTGGTTTGGAGAGGTCTTGGCTGGAGGAGGCAAAGTCCATATTTAACCCAGAAAGATGTGGCCCCCTCCAACTCTGCACAGGAAAAATCAGCAACTGTGACATGTAGGGAGCAGCTTCAGTAACTCCTGCACATGCTCAGGGAAAAGTGTTTGGCTTCCAGAGATGCTGCTCACAAGACACATCAGGGCAATATATCCTGAAGATGTGCCAAATCTGTCTGAAATATTCATGCATGCTCCCTGTAATTTATAGAAACAATCACAGCAGCATAATTATTTCGATGCTTCTCCCTGTGAAGAATCTCATCTCTTGGATGTGAAAATGTGACCTGCATATCCACACAGCCTTGCTGTGGCCTTCTGGGCATGCCAGGAGAGGTGATTCCATGCACTATCCAATATATCCATGTGAGCATCAAAATATGCCCTTTAGACTACTGTGGTGGATCAGACAACAACACATTTGCTTGGGGTGAATTTCAATGATTTCAGATGAATTTCATTTGTCTTATGCGTGGTGCCTGGTTCATTAAAGGCAGCACCTGTAAAGCACCTTTTGCTCTGCACCTCCCATAGTTGTGAAGTCTACCCTAAGCATAATGCTTAGCTCCCATGACCCCCCAAAAACCCCAAGTATCCTTGTCATTTTGAACCTGTGAAAGGGATGGGGAACAGGCTACAGGCAGAACCCACTCCTGCAAAATTACAGCTACTAAAACAGCAGAGGTGCAGACCTGTTCCAAGGCAGGAGCAATTTGGAGATGACACAAAGGCTGGCGGTGTGAGACAGACAGGGAAATGGGGACAGATTCTATATTTTAAGTATCATTTTCTAAAATATCTGCAAGAGGAAAGGACCTACTGTACTTTCAGGTGTAGCTGGTGCAATGTAAATAGGTTCCCAAACCCTCAGTGTCTTTTGTTCTTCAGCTGGCTTGGCAGAACACCCTGAATCCATGTGTTTAACTGGGACTGGGTCTGTAAATAAGTGCTCCCTGTTGCTAAGGTTCAAGTGACATTTTTAGTGGCATTTGACAGATTTTTAAGCTGCTTTCAAGTCTTCTACTGAGCTCTTCTATACCCAGGCAGTGAAGCTGTCATGAAGCCTTGGCTTTACTCAAACTGGTGCTAAAAATCTTTGGATTCACAGGTTGGACACAGACTTGCCTGACAAAGCTTAACTGGTGCTGCTGATGGCAAAGCCACACCTGACCTGTGTTTGTACCTAGAAGTGATTATCTGGGAATCTGGGGAGAAAAACCCACTGAAAACCAGAAAGGAAAGCAGAGACTCAGCCTGGTGTGCAGGCAGGGTGGTACTGCAGAAGCTGCTCCCTGATGGGAGATGTTGCTCTGCAAGAGACAAATCAGTGGCCTGCTCTTTACTCCCCTCAATATCTTGTGCTCCTTACATTTCCACCAGAATCCCAAAGAGGTTTCTTTTGTCCAAAAGGCTGTTTGTTTTCTTTTGACCACTCAGAACTTGTGATACTTGTCTTGATCTATTAACCAGGTGTCCAGCCAAAATCAATTGCCTGTCAGGCTCAGACCATTACCCAAAAAGTCAAGACCTCCATAAATATTCCCGGCCTCATTGTGCTGGTGACAGATTCTGCAGGTTGTTTTATGTTACAGTTGAACAGTTTAGACATTGCATTTGTATATATTTGCAGGCAGCCCTGGAGGGACCATCTCTGAGCAGAGTGGGAGCAGCAGCTTGCAGACTCCAGCACCTCCAGCATGACCAGGGCAGGAATTCTGGTGCTCCTCTCCTTCGCGCTTTGCTGCGCCCCAGGTGAGTGACTCTCCAGGTGGCTGAGCCCTGGCTGTCCTCAAAAGGGTAAGGCAGAGGACTCAAAGAGAGAAAATCTCCTTCAGAGGGCTCTGCTGCCTCGGCTGGCATGGTGCAGGTTGCAGGAGTGTATTTCAGGATAGTCCTCGGTGGCTCGCTGCTGTAGCTGATGGTTTGTCAGAAATATAAATAACAGCAAGTGGAGTTCTGTGCTGGCAACTTGTGCTGTTACACTTTGTACACTGGTGTTCTCACACCATTACACTGCTTAGACTTGTACAATTACAGCAAATGGATGAATACTTGAAGTAAGGCCATGAGAAGGGGGTCAGACCTCTGGTAACTAGTAAGGAAAATATTGTAATGGCACAAGCAAGTTCTCTGCAAGGCCCTGGCAAATTTCCTGCAATGCTCTTTCTGCTAATGGAACAGCAAGAGATGAAAACAAGCCAGACTCTGATGTTCTCACTGCATATTCACAGCTGATGAAACTACAAAGCCAAAGATATTTTTTTCACACTCGCCTTCTTTCAAATGCATATTTCTGTCAACAGATGCTGTATGTATTTGCTTATCCTGTAGGTGACTATTTGCATTTGTCTCTGTTGATTCAGGTGTATTTCCAGATACATAACAGCAGCGCTTTAGGGTCAAAACGGATATGTAAAAAGATAAGGAAGGAAAAGCTCTTCTGTTTTCAATTAATAAATCTACATGTCTCAGAACAAAAAAAAGAACAAAGCTATTCAAAAAGGTGTTTCATCATAGCCAGCAATAAGCAATGCTATTATGCTTATCAACATAGAAAAAAAAATCATTCATAGTTTATTTAGTTCAAAAAACAATCACTGGAAATCATTCAGCTTGGTCCTGCACACAGGAATTTTGTATCCATATTTCCAGCTTTAATTGAGGTCTTATCACATTGGCTTTTGTTCATACTTTCTGCCTCTCTTTTCTTTTCCAGATACTGTCTTTGGGATTGAGGTAAGTGGAAGATTTCTTTCTGTGAGTATGTGGCCTAAAAAAGATATAGCCGAAGGAATGGGAAAAACCTCCAGCCTGTAGGTGCTCAGCTGTTTTTCACCCAAGTGTCACACTCGGGTCACTGTAATCAGATCCTACAGTGTAAAACATTAAATTATACTGCCCTTGGCTGTACATCTATGCTGTATGTTAATAATGTTTTAGTAGTAATGATACAATGTTTTTGGATTAATTAATTTTTCAGCAACTTTAGACTAGTCTAAGATTTAAGCTGAAAATATATAGCTGGTTCTAAATTAAAGCAATAGACTGGTATCAGAACCTACCTGAGGGCAACCTACTGAAATACTAAAATACTCTGAGCTGATCAGCTTCCTCACAGGTCATTAGTCTTGGTCCTCTGAAAAAAACCCATGATCAGTGTATTAAGAATGAAAAAGACCAGAAGTGCAGTGGAGGGGCCACAAGAATAGAAGATCTAGGGACCAATGGAGAGCCTTTATAAAATCATGTCAAGTGAGCACGAGAGGCCAGCACTGGTTTATCCCCTCCAAGGGGCTGCATGGTTATAGCTGTTCCCTCCTCCTCCTCTTCTCCTGCTCTTTGGGGACATCTCTGCAGGAAGGATTCTCCTGAGGGACCCACAGCAGAAGTTTGTGCTGTGGCAGCGAGGACTGGTTGTACCAGCTCAGTGTCCCACACAAAAATGAGAGTTTTGAATGTCTCAGGTCTTCTCATCCTGTTGCTGTGATTCCTGTGGCAGGTGGACTGCAGTACCTATCCCAACACCACAAACGAGGAGGGCAAAGAGGTGCTGGTCTGCAGCGAGGCCGTCAGCCCCATCTGCGGCTCCGACGGCGTCACCTACGGCAACGAGTGCCAGCTCTGTGCCTACAACGTGTACGTTCTGCTTGGGGACAGCGTGGGGACAGCTTGGGGACAGCGTGGGGACCCCAGGCAGCACAGCTCAGAGCTCCTGGCAGCACCACAGCTCACCAATCTGTCACACGTCACCTGTGTCAATTCCTTCAAAATGAGCGTGGCTATCGCGGCACGGCGCTCAGGCAGAGCTTTGGTCACTGTGTCTTTCTTTTGCTTCTGTAATTTATTCAGGTTTTTTCTTCTCTGTCTCAAGGAATGGCCAGGTGATGGCTCTGAGAGCACATCTCATCACAGCAAAAGGACAGAGATGCTCTGCTCAGAGCTGCCCAAAATGGTCCTAAAGCTTCCCAGGGTTTTACATCCCTGCCAGCTACTCAGCTGATGAGGGAGGGTGGTTCTACCTTCTCGAATACAGATATTAAAAAAAATACAGATATAAACTGACTGAGAGAGTCAGTTTTCCCTTGTATTAATTCTAGCACTTAGGATGTAGCAAGACATCTTTACGGAACTTCCTAACATTTGTCTTTCCCTCTGCAGAGAATATGGAACCAATGTCAGCAAAGACCACGATGGAGAGTGCAAGGAAGTTGCCCCTGTAAGTTAAACCAAGGGCAAAACAAGGGGTGTGTCCTGCTTCTGAGTGGCCAAAGGTGCTAATTGAAATAATTCAAACCCTAAACAAGAACACAGATGAGCTGCCAGAATCTTGCAGTGGTCACCTCCAAGTGAAATGTCATCACGGTGACTGACAGAAAAGCTTTTCTCCCACTGTGGTGCTGTCCTGTGTGGCCAGGCAGACACACCAGATCCACTTGTGTGCTGTCAGCAAGGCCTTCACCAGGGCTTTGTTTGCTCCCTCACCAGGTGGACTGCAGCAGGTACCCCAACTCAACCAGTGAGGAGGGCAAAGTGGTGCTGATCTGCAGCAAAGACATCAGCCCCGTCTGCGGGACCGACTGGGTCACCTACGACAACGAGTGCCTGCTCTGCGCCCGGAGCCTGTGAGTGCTGAGCACAGGGACCTGGGCTGCTGCTCCTGGAACTGCTCCTTTGGACAGCAGGACTTCTACCAAGACCTCCTCTTCTCCTCCTGACTAAACCTGGTTGTCCTCTGTCATTAGAAGGAGAGCCGTGCCTTTGGTCTAGGCAGAGAAGGGGAGGGCTGGGTGGGGATCTCACACAGGACAGGATGCTGCTCTTAACTAAGTTAGAAGGGTCTGTGTGGCAGATGCTGCCTTGCAGAGGACAACAACTCACCCAGGGGGCATTGACATTGTCACACAGCCTGTCTCCTCATCCATCCTGACCCCTGTCCCTCACATCTTGCTATAAACCAGCTCTCTGGCAGGCAGTGGCACCACCTGAGCTGGTCCCTGGAGCCACACGGGCACAACCTCAGCCGGTGCCTCCTGTATCCCACATGTTGTGCCTGAGGCTGCTCAGCATTGCTGGGTGATGGGGCTCAGCAGAACAGGTTGCTTGCAGAGCTCCCTAATGCAGGTCTCTTCCCTTCCCAGGGAGGCTGGAACCAGCATTGGCAAGAAGGCTGATGGTGAATGTAAGAAGGAAATTGTCACAGTAAGTGAATTGGGTGATCAGGGGCTGGGTTTTGGTCCTGCTGCTGTCAGGGGAAGCACTCCCAGTGTCTGCAGCAGCCCCCAGGCCAGCAGTGTCCTGCAGAAGTGAAACAGCTGCTGTGCTGCAGAACAGGAGAGATTTTGCTTTCTCTACACATAATAAATGTTATTTGTGTGAATGCCAGGAAAGGAGCAGGTTACTGCTCAGGAAGGGATGAATAAAAGAATAGTAGAAATAATCCATCAGGGCACAACTGTGAATAGGAAGAGAGAATGGCTTTGAGGTCAGACCAATGCTCCATCTAGCCCCTGGTAACTTGGTACAGAGCCTGCTGTTGGCAGGGGGTGTGAGCATTGTGTAGGACAGAGTGAGAGTGCAGAATGTAGAGAAAAGTGACTTCTCCCTTCCAAACTCCAGCTGTTTTCAGGTGGAGGAGCTCAGCTGGGAGTGATTTCTGTGCAGTCACTCAGCCTTGATAGATTTCTCCTCCATAAAATTCCTCAGCCTCTTCCTGCACCCAGACACATTTTTATCCCTACAATTCTCCTCAGCAAGTGCAGCACTCATTGCTCCAGGAAACAGAATCCCACTCTTGCAGTATCCAGCCACGTGCTGATCTTCCAGTTTTAAGACTCCAGGAGGGATGGTGGAAGTTTATAGAGGATCAGCACTCCATTTCCCCAGACACCAGTGTTTCTCCATTTAATTTCCTGGCCAGCTTGGGAACACAGAGCACGGCACCTTCACCGAGTGAGCTGCTGCTGCTTGGAAATGCCATGACCAGGTTATGATATGCATCTCTTCAAACAGGAAATTATGATCTATTTTTATATTATTAAATTCTCCTGGCATGGGAGAAACTGACACCTCAGTTTATATCAGATGTGCAAGGAAGTTAATTACTTTTGGTGAGATTGGTATCACCAGCACTGCAGCTCTAGCTCAGGGCTCAAGCCCTTGTGCTACTGACTCCTCCACATCAGAGTCTTTTATTTTTATTTATTTTTTACAGGTTGACTGCAGTGACTACCCCAAACCTGTCTGCTCACTGGACTACATGCCTCTCTGTGGCTCTGACAACACAACATACAACAATAAGTGTATCTTCTGCAACGCAGTCGTGTATGTACAAATATCAGTGATGTCTGTTTTATCAGTTGCCTCATGTGGGCACACGTTTGCACAGTTACTGCTTTTTTTGTTTGCTGGATACTGTTGATTAGGGATTTGGGGCAGGAGGGAATGCCAGCCACCGTGTCAAGCATTCATTTATTTTTTTCATTAGAGCATAAAAAATGCTACGGCTGCTTTGTTAGTGTGAATGGTTTGAAGAGCATTTAACCTAAATGGAATTCTTCTTGCATGTTGCAAAGGAAATGAAATTCCTTTCCTTTTGAAATTCCACTATAGTTTCCCCACAGATATTTTCAGTCTTAAGAATGGGTTAAATTATTTCACTCATGTCTTAATAATCAAATAGCAAATGGGATTATGAGTCCGCAAGTTCCTTGGCTCTGGGGCAGGATCCCATCTGACACCATCTCTAGGAGCCATCAAAAAGACAGATTATAGCAGGCAGGACTCTGTGTTTAATTCATTCTTTCCTCTCCTTACTTTCAGGGACAGCAATGGGACAATCACTTTAAGCCATTTTGGGAAGTGCTGAGTATCGTGCCAAGAGAATTCACCACAGGATCCCCACTGGAAAATCCCAGATAAAGATCTGACCTCAGTTCACCTCACCTTCTGGGAAACTCAGCTCACTCCTGATTTTCTTTCTCAATAAACTAAATCAGCAACATTTCCCTGTCTTCTTTCATGTGTTGTCTCATGAAACATTGCCTTGATTTGTTGGATGATGATACTGGGCAGAATAAGTTACGTGCTCAAAGCTCTGGGATAGAACAAGAACATAATCTTGCTTCCCTCCCTCTCCTAAAAGGGCAGAAAATTAAATACAGATGCTCCAACCCCAGAGCTGTGTCTCTTTGCACATAAATGACAATAATGTCCCTGCATTAGTGCTCAGACCCTTTAATGTTTGACACTGGGCAGGGCTGAAGTGGTGACACAGGAGGGTCCCTCCCCAGGTGTTCCTGGTGCATTTTCCTTGCCAGCAAAGTCCGGTCACCCCTTGGTGTCACTGCCCAGAGCTGATCCCTGGCTCTGTGCTCACCTGAAGTGCTGCTCTCTCAAGGGCACCCTGCTGGCACAGCCCAGATTGCTCAGACACGGGCATTGTCTCTGTCTATTTGTCCAAGTCCTCCAACTGACCAGATTTTTCTCATCCTGGAGTCGTCCTTTAACACCCTTCAAACGTTTTGAGATTAATGCCTTCCTAGGTGTGGTGCCTACTCCTGCCTACTTGTCTTCTCTCAGTCTTCAATTACACAATGTTCTCTCCCAGCCCAAGGAGTATTTCAGCAGTGTTTCAAAATCCAAGGACAAAGTATCCTTCTGTTTCTTGAGAGTGTGACTTGTCATTGGCGTATTGTGCTTGAAATTTATTTTGCTTTTGTGTTCTGTTTGAGTATTGAATTGGGTTTTGTTTTTTTTTTTTTTAATCCACACAAGAGAGGCATAAATAAATTGGGCTTATCCCTCCTAAAATGTAATATCTCCCACATGCATTTCTTCTGGGAATCAAAGGGAGAGGGGTGCTTGTTCTCCTTGATGGAGGTTGTCCCAAAAAGCAATGCTTTGGTGGTAAAACAAAGGATTTATGTAGAGATGGGCAGATGGATGAAGCAGTGATATCCAGATTGGGTTCAGCTTTTCTAGGATCCATGCTAGGGTCTCAAATCATTCTGTCATCATCATACTAAAAGTCTATTACTGCAAAGCTAATGGCTTTTAGGGGAAATAACAATTGTAAATTTTTTTTTGCATAGTCCCATAAAAGTTTCTCCATCCCTTGTCATTTTCCAGGACTCCTTTCAGTGTCTGGGATGCCCTCTTGCTTGCCTTCCTGGTTCATTGTTTTCCTGCTTTCACTATAACTTAGTGATGTTTTACTTGAGTGAAGCACAAAAATAAAAGGAGAACCTTTCTGCTGTGGAAGCATTTCATTCAATGTTTTTCTCATGAAAAAGCACTGCACAAAAATAAGCAGTGATAGGTGAACACACAGAAAATCTGACAGCAGTTTGTACAGTGGCTCTTTTGCCTGCAGGAATTTTCTGTGGTCCTTCAGAAGGAAACTGTCACATATTTCACTTAAAATAAGGACTCAGAGGGTGTATCTCACACATCTAAACTTCGCGTGACTCCCGTTGATGAAGAAACACCACTCTTGGCTTCCAGCACAGCTCACCTCTACTGTTATTACCACTGAGACAAAAGGCTGGAAATGTTGCTCCAGGATAAGGGTGGATAAGGCAAATATGAACATGCACAAACACACACACCCCCCCAGTGGTGCAGGCATACATATAAGCGTGGTTGGCACCTGAGGACAGAATCCAGGTTGAGTTTCCTGAGCAAAAGCCAAGCCCTGCTGCTCACAGCTCATCCAGCCACCATGAAGATCACGGGGGTGCTGCTTCTGCTCTCTCTGGCCCTTTTCTGCATCTCAGGTGAGTGGCTGTGCCTTGGAGTAAGCGCTGGCTGTCTTCAAAACCACAAAAAAACATCCTCAGACTGGAAAGAGCTCCGTTCTGCAAGGACTTATTTACTCCTAGAAAGATAGTGTTGAAAAGACTTGACATCAGAGACTATCACTTATGGGGTAATATTTTAGCAACAGAACTGAGTGGGTAAGAACAACTGTGGGAACAGCTCTACTCTCAGTGCTAGTTTATGCATAATGAAAGAAGTGACATGAACGTGGTGCAACCCGGGGACTCAGACAACCAGTACTTAACCTCTGAAATCTTGCAGAAACACAAATAATTTTACTGAATGAAAGCGAACATTTCTTGTAGTCATCCTGAAGCGAGGTGTAGTTTGAGAGCCTGAATTGGTGTAGGAGCTTTATAAATTCACTTCTCACTAAATACTATTCTTATTTAAAAATAATATTGGCAATGCATATAAGATGCTGCCTCTGTGTACTTGTCAGCTTTATGTCCCTCTTTACCTCAATAATTTGCTTTGCTTTGAGTTCATGTCCTGTTCCATCCTTTGAACCATAGAAAATGCCTTTCTCTTCTTTTATTTTACACAGCTTTTTCCATTTTGACTGTAACCCTTTATTTATATTAAATAAAAATACTACAGAATCAACATACAGTATGGCACAACATTTTGCCTGAAATTCCTTTTGTCTAAGAATAATTTGCTAGCACACAGGGAGTTGGAAGATATGTATTCAGGGCATGCATTCTCAGATTTTAGCAGAATCTATGAATTGCATTTGTAACATATTTCATTTGTTCTTCTTTTTTTTTTTTTAGTTCCAGCTACTGATGCGCTGCAGGTAAGGGACAGATTTTTCTCTTCTCCATCCTTTCTTTCCTTAAAGCAGTTTCTGTATAAATCTTTACTAATCACATCATGATGGAGCCTTTCAAAATCCAGAGACACCCAGCTGCCTGAGCAATATTTGCCACAGATATTATCGGGTGAAATTGCCATTTTCATCTGGTGATAGCTTCAACGAGTAGGGCAGCATTCAGCTCATGTCCAAGTTGTTGTCAAAGTTACTGCAGCATCATTTGCAGTGGTTACCCAGGCTCTGCATGGCTGGAGGCAGCACTCCACTGCCTCCTGCCCTGTCCCTGGGCTTTTCCTCAGCATCTGGGCAGCAAGGGGGCAGCTCAAGGGGTGTGTGGGGCCTCCTGATGTCACTTTTCTCACCCAGCTTTGGTTAAGAGCTCTTTTTTTTTTTTTTTTTTTTTTTTTTTTTGTGAGTACAGGCTGCACCTGTCTACTGCAGGAACCAGAGGACCATCAGGAATATGTGTACCATGGAGTATGTCCCCCACTGTGGGTCTGATGGTGTCACCTACCCCAACAAATGCACATTCTGCAATGCCTTCCTGTACGTATGGAATAAATCCCTTCACCTACTCAGTGGTGAATTAATTTAGCTTAAACTGGCTAATCAGTCTTGGACACTGGCTGGAGAAGTAAAGTGCTTTTATTTCATTTGTTTTTTCTCTCACCAGCAATGGTAATTTTTTTTTTTTGGGAGAGTTTGCTAGGAACTGCTTTCTTTCAGATATAAAGAAACAACATAGTGTTCTATGTTTTCCTCTTAAGTGATTTGCAAAAGAGCTTTCTCTCAGCAAAGTCTGTTTCCTACAGACTATTTGGTCTTTTAAATTAAGAACTTTTCTTGTCTTTATATGTCAATAATAAAAAGGAAATATGTGGAATAGAGTTCAGAAATTCCTTTGTGGTGCAGAGGGACAGACCAACAGTAAAAGCCCAGATGTTCTGTCTCTGAGGTACTGATTTTTTACTGATTTCTTTCTCTGCAGGAGAAGCCGTGGAGCTCTTGCCTTGAGGTCTCTTGAAGCCTGTTAAGCTCTTGACAGGATTCAGCTGAGAAAGAGCATCCCTCCCTGACAATGTTCCCCATGGCAGATGACTTCCTAAACCCCTGGCCCTTGAAAACCTCTTATCAACCCTGAAACCTCTGATAATAAAAAAAAAAGACCCAGCATTTATGTTGTCCTTTGGTCTCATTCTGGCTTTACCTAGCAGGTTGCATGATTTTACCACTGCAACAACCCTGGGGTGTGGGAATTAATGGGAAAATTGCAGGGGAGAGGGAGAGGGGTGTTCTGATCTACAAAAACACCAACCCCAGCTGCAAAGGCGATGGGCAGCTCTGGTGGGCATCTGCCTTCATCCAGCTTTCCAAAAGGAAACCTGGGCTGGAGATGCATCCTGGTGCTGCTGCCCATTTCCTGCTCTGAGGGGACCTGACAGACACTGAGAGGAGCCTGGCTGAGAGGAGCTGCCTCCCTCCCCAGCTGCTGCTGTCAAATACCTGCAGCCTCACCCAGCCTCACTCTGTAGCCTGGCAGCACCAAGAGGCCCTGGGCAAACCTAAACATAAACATAATTAGAGACAGTCCCAAGACTTGTAAATGGGGTGTTCTGGCACTGTTCTGCCACACAGAAGGGGTCTTGTTGGCACAATGAGCTGCTCATCCCTGTTTCAGTTTCCAGGGTTATCCCTAATTTCTTACACCTGCAGGAGAACATGTGAGGAAGGTCACATTCCAAGCTGCCTCCACCTCGCGAGCAGGATTGAAAACTCACCTGTAGAAAAAGCCTTTTGCAATCAGCTCTGCTCCCCAGAGCAATGTCACAGGGTGTTTCCTCTGGGCTGCCCACGCTGGTTCACTGCTGAGGGGCACTGCAGAAAACCCGTGGGCAGCCAGTGCCAACAGAGCTGGTGTCCAGGGGACGCTGGCAAGCACCGAGCCCATCTGGGCACCTCACCCATCACTTAGCTGCTGGTTGAAGGTAATTACCTTGACTGTCGCTTGTAGAGGATCCTTCGAGATTCTCCGGCCTCTGGAAACCTCGGCTGATGAGAGGAAGGGCTCAGAGTCGTGGTGTTAATTTATTATTCATTAACAGCCAGGCGCTGCCAGTGCCGTGTGCTGCAGAGGCAGCAGCCTCACAGTCAAATAGTTAATGATCTTAAGTGACAATGTGTCACTTCCCAGAGACTGCAGAGAGCAGCTCTCTAAAAGGAGACAATTTATT